TAGTAAATACAAAAAAAAAAACAAAACAAAATAAAACAAAACAAAACAAAACAAAACAAAACAGAACAAAACAAAAACAATATTTTTACAAAAATCAATCCTACCATGTATGTGTTAAGTAATTATTTATATTAATTAATTTTAATATTTGTGTTAAAAATTAGAGAAGATGAAAAGAGGAGTTTTTCTTTTTGGCTTTAGATAGCCGTATTTTTGTGTTTATCTAAATTTTGAATAAATTTAAAAACAAATAATAATTCATAATAAAATGTACAAAATATGAATTAAAAATTATTATTTCAATAAGGACGTTTTCATCGCCTTTATTTATGGCAATATTTATTTATTTTCATGCTAAGACTAAATTAAAACACAAAATATTTCTTCAAAAATGCATGGAAATATCTATTTATTTATATGAAATCTAGCAATTATTACAAATTATAATTTTTGGAGTTACGAAGGGTTTCGATTTTTACTGGTTGGTTGGTAAGATTTTAAATTTTTTTTAACAGACTAATTTTTATCACGTTTTCTAATGAAGAATGCATGAATTATTATCCGGTATCTAAGATGACATAAATCATTTTTAACTCCGAAAAAAGATATATTCCCCGGGCACAGGTGTTGCTACTAAATATTTAAGAAAATGTCACGTGATAAACGTTTTTACACCGATATTTACATATTCAGCAAATCTAATACCTCAAAAATACCAATTCCTCAAAGTTAATCATAGAACATTTCACAATTTTTTGTTTGATTATATTTCAATACGTGATGTCTGCTTACAGGCGATTTTTAATTCCTTTGATTAAAATGGAGATTATTAGAGTGTTAATTATAAGTACCCGAGGTAGCATATTCTGTCACTGTATGGTGAATGGGATCTATTTTTCCTAACCGGAAACAAAGAAACTTCTGCAAGCTACGTTTTACACATTAAATAACTCCAATATCTGAAGAAAATCAAATAGAATGAAATTCACGTATATAGCTGTATATGTGGCAAGAAGTAAATAAAAAAGGCAATTAACAAGAAAGGATTACTACAAACTAGGATTTGAATGTTTAAAACAAAAAAATCAGTAATACGTCATTATGTTAATGTATTATGTTTGTATTTGTATAATTAATGCGTTAAAAAGCATATGGAATCTTTGTCTAACTGAATAAAGAACTAACTTTTTTTCAGCAATATATTTGCAAACTGTTGCCTTCCCTTCCGATTTTCTTTGTATATATAATTGCTTGAGTTGTAACTGTAAGAAACTCAAAATCACAAACTCTCAACTCTTTGCACATGTGATGTATTATTTTGCAGACATAAACTAATTTACTTGATATATTTCATAAGAATATGTCGAAAATGTTTGTGGATTTTCTCAAAGTAAGAGAGATTATGATGGCGATGTGTCACCGCTTGTGTTGTTTATGCAACTCTGGAGATATTCCTAGTGGTTTATCGTTTTATTTATTTCCCCAGGTGTTTCTAGTGGTATATTATCGCTTCAAATTAAAGCGCTAAGAGAAAATTGAAGACTAAATTCATTTGCAGTTTTACAAATTCAATCTTGTGTGAACTACAAAAAATCCAAATTCATATATAAGCTGAATAAACAAAGAATATAAAGAGTAAAATGTAAGAAAACAATGTGAAATTCGATATTTTATGTACATGTACATATAAATTTATATTGGACTATGAACGTTCGGCCAGTTTTGTTTGTCTCCAGTGTCTTTTCTATTCCGTGGACGTCTGTACAAGAAAACATATTTACTCATCAAGTTACATAGTACTAACATAAATCAAGTGGGGATCGTAAAGACAATGAGATCAGCTATTTTATCAATCTCTCGGTGGTAGTTAACAGGTATGGTTTATACCAAGAGAGTGATATGATGTTACCTGATCGGCCTAAATCTCTGAGAGACAAGCGATCATTGTAGAATTAAAATCCCTAGACTTATTTCTTACTTAGTTAAAGCTTTATTTCGTATACAAGGTCCAAAGACTGTAGATAGCCAATCAACGCACTTTTTTTACTGTGCCTTACAAGTACATGATTGGTGTTACAAGAAGAAACAATAGAAGAGAATTATTAAATTCTATAATTAAAGAGAAAAGAAAATAATTCCCAGGGTTAATAAGCACGTGCTTGTTTTTTATACAGAGGTAATTCCTTTTTCATTATGTCCGTAGTCCCAGTTGCCTGCGAGAATATGGATCTAAATCCTCAAGCAAAGTCTTTTTCCAGCGGCAGAAAGCTGGGTCTTAAGAGACTGTTAGATTGATCCATTAAGTTCCCGATGTCTATACACGGCCTATTTCGCGTCTCCAATCTTTCTATTATGTGTTCTAGTTCAGTGAAGATGGGGATGTAATTTTAGGGTGATTGTGTTCAATTTTACCCTCGAAATAAAACACGGAGATATTATTATCTTCTGCATCATTGAGAGTTCGTAATTCAGTCATTTTTTCCTCCCTTGCTAAACTATGCTTTGGTATAATGGATGTTTTTACTTTACTTGCCACAGTCCAAATTCAGAAACGAGGTTCTATTTACGCATGGTTAGATAATATCATAAGTAACACATTTCTACACTCATGAAAGTGATCACAATTTTTCGATTTTTTCCTCTCTATTTAAATCATGAAAGGGATTAAACCAAATACCAAGGGCATAGTATCGCGTGTAGCTTTTATAGCCACAAGGGAAACATAAACTATTCTACAATAGTAAAACAAAAGTTTACCAATATTTCGCACTTATTACGAATAACAGACTTTTATTTGCAACGTAATATTAATTAAGGCTCCCTCGCTGCACTCCGCTTATCTGCTAGTTCATCTGAGGTTTACACGAATGCTGGATTTTTTCTGTTTGCAACTCGTCTTCTGCATTGCATATTGGGTAACCAGGTGCATGCTGATTGATCAGCCCCTGCTCTACTTCCAGCAAAATTTACTTCAGAACGCCAATGTCAGTTAATCAATATCTAAATGCAAACATTATATAAAATCTTTGTAATTTTTTTCAGGTCCAAACTCTGCACACAGAAGACGCGGAAGGCAGACGTACAGCCGATACCAGACGCTAGAGCTGGAGAAAGAATTTCAATTCAACCATTATTTAACGCGAAAACGACGAATAGAGGTAGCCCACTCCTTGTGCTTAACAGAACGACAGATAAAAATATGGTTTCAAAACAGACGAATGAAACTCAAGAAAGAGAGACAAGCAATAAAGGAGATTAACGATACTCCTGGTCTTCTTCCCTCAGACAAGAAAGACGACAAAAGTGACGGACTGTCGAGTGACGAGTCACCGTAAACACCCGAACTATTCCGAACACCAACGAGAAAGCTTCAGACAATTACATGGGTAAAAGCTTTGTCTATTCAGGCGATACGGGTAAAATAGTTCGTCACTTCTTGCCATATCTGAGATATCTAGTAACATTATGGCAATTTTAAATTATTCCAAAGATATTATGTTTTTTGTTACTCTTGTGAGGTATTACAACTTAGATCTCGTATATCTATATAAGCTTGGTCATAAGGCGTAAGAACAACCGTGTCTGTGTGTCTGCTAGTCAGGAGGATCCTCCCAGAGTGATTAAGTGCGTGCTCCGTTAAGTGTTGTCTGCCCTTTATGTTGAAATAGGACTGCAGATGGCGCTCTGTGGATACGTGATGTCGTCATGTTTTATTCACTGCGGAACTTTATGTCGCAAAAAACTGGTTTGCTAAGATTTTTTTCTCTGTGATGAGACAATGTTCAGTTCAAATGAAAGGGTGTGATATTCATTTGTGTGTTTAATATTGCAATTACTTTGGACTGTTACAGATTGAATTCATGATAAACGATATAATTGACAATTATGAGCTAAGGGTAAAAAGCTTCGCTACATTCATGGATATTTAAGATAGGGTAAACTTTTATAAATAATTGCTGCATTACTGTAGACTAGGCAACGATCACCATATTTTTGTACAACATTCTTATTAGTACTTATGGTTTACAATATCAATCTGCTGAATGGAATGAAAATTGTGTGAATAGACTTAAATATATAAAATACCTCAAAATTTCTCTTCCATTGTACAAATATGTGTGATGCTTTTTGTACCGTTTTTATCATAACTCCGTCTCAGGGTTATAGTTTGCCACATCATCTTAGAGATATGTTTACGCCCTAACCTTTATTCAGAAGTATCTTTTTGTTAAGCGATGGATAGGAACACTATATCAATAGACAAACATGATGAACCATCTCAGATGGTGCAGTTTTAGTTTTTCTAACATCTAAACCATGATTTTTGCAGTTTCATGAATTGCTGCCAAAATATTTGAGAAAGTTGCAATAGAAGTTCCCCTGTTTTTTGTGTTGTGATGTGCTGTTCTAACGAGACTGTTATATGATTCAGAGAGATTTTTTCTTATATGTTTGTTGACGTTTAGTTGTCTTACATTGATAAAACAAGTACTGCCAATGTCAGTGGTGCATTTCAAATGTAATAAAATTTGTAAAGAGTAGATGCAACTTGTTGTCTGATGTATGAAGGTACAAAGAATTAGTCCCAAATTCGAGATATATTGTGCAAGGTAAATTAATATACCTTGGCGAAGTTTTGTTCGACCTTTTTCGAAAAAAATCTTTTGCGTCATTTTCTCCCAAAGTATATCAATTTTTCATGCAAAAAAGCTTTAGTGCAGTTATGAAACAGTCCAAGACTTGAATACTTTTATTAAAAGGAACCCCGATTAAGAATCATTAACTTTTCGAACACTAAATAATTGGGAAGAAATTTGTACATTTCATGATGTAAGTACATGTAAACATGTATAAAAATGTTTTATAATAAATAAATACGAGTAAGTATTACGAAAAATAAATAATTTCTTATAAAGTAGGGTAACTCGAGATTGAGACTGTAGCTCTACAAGATGCTCAACTTACGAAAGAAAAAAGAAGCATTGGAACTTTAAAATCTCTCAACAGCAATAATGAAAATGTAATCATTGGTTTAATCCTTTTTCTATTACAATTTAATTAAAATGGAACAAAAACTGTAGAATTAATAGTCTTTTTAAAAAATTAATTTCACTTATCATGTTTGTTCAAATAAAAAATCAATGCAAATGAATATATCTTAGTGAATTTTAATAGTGTTCCAAGTTTTATTGCGGAAAGCTGACCAAATGTGTAAGAGAAAAGCCATTTTGAAGGAAATGTTTAGTTTAGCAAACGATATTTTCAGTAAACATGGCGACACCATTCATTAAAATAAAAAAAATCTTATAATCATTAATACGCAACTAATTGTAGTCTACTTTTTTCAGTGGAGTCTACATGTGTACTATGTTATGTTGAACTTGAACCAAAAACTATAGAAAGAGTAGCATTTTTGGAAATAAATGTTTACAAACAGACAAATTTCATTCAGTTTTTTATGCTTTAAACTGTTTTATGCTGCAATCATGGTTTTAAACAAAGGACACTTGTGTTCGAATCGTATTATCTACAGTGTTTAATTAGTGATAATATTTATTTGTATTAATAAAAATAATCCCGATAATGCTAAAACAAAATCAGTGACAAATGTGTTAATTCTTCTCACGTCAAAATAAATAAAGAGTAAAATAATAAAAAAAAAAGCCTTGTAGATATCTCACTTAAACTATTTTTGTTCTATCATGTAATAGGACTGGATTTGTACATTCAAAAAGAATAATTCAAAAAATATTGTACACATGTAAGCATAAGTTTTACATGTAAGATTCAACCTTTAAGAAAATACATGTACATGTATTCTGCTAAGGATCCAAATATATATATATATATATATATATATATATATATATATATATATATATCCAATATATATATATATATATATTCTGATATAATTGTTTCAGACAAAGAATAGTTTACCACCACTAAAATCAACCAATAATGAAGAAGATATATTATAATAAATCTGCAAAAGCAAATAATGCCAGCTTTAATTAGAAAAGCTATAATTCATTGGATAATAGAGAGCAGATGTACAATCCGCTTTACTTTTTCAGCAGATAATGAATTAGATCTAATTATAAAGCAGGAAATTATAATTCAACACTTCTCAGAAGGGGAAAAATAAACGTTCACCTGTTTAAAGGGCGATCTCTTTGTTTCTGGACAATTTCAATGTTTCTTTGTTGTATGTCCTCGAGTCTGTCAGCTAAAGCATCTTAGATTAATAATTATCTGATATTAACATAAGTTATAAAAAATACTGTGAATGAATTGATAAATTAAATTTACTTTGAGGTGAGCATTACTAAATTTTAAACAGACTTTATACTAGTATTTTAATCCTTCTTCACAGGAATCCGTGTCTTCTCATACTGACTTTTTATCTTATAAAAAAAACACTTTACTAAACTTTCTTCCACCTGTAAGATCTAAGGCCAGTGAATCAGCCCCCGATAGGATTTCTGCACGAAAGAGTATTTCTGTTTCACCATTCCTTCTAAATCCACCATCAGACGACCTTCGTCTCCAGTACCCGCGCTCCTGTGGACTGTCGTCTGCAATCGACTGGGATCTGTTTCATTTTGTGATTCCCCCAGTTTAGAATTCTGTTTGAAGCTCCAAGTATTATATGACATCCACAGGTGGTGGTTTGTCGGTCTGTGCCAGAATTTTCCTCTCCACGTGAACCGTTCATAAGATATTTATTACCAAGTGTGGAAAAGTGCAATTTATGTTTTGTCTATTTTCAATATCAACTTTCTGGGTTGCTTTCAGACAAAGACACAAATCCCTGCCTGCATATCATAGCTATGACAATGTAGATTGGGTTTTTAATAAGCTCATTACTAGCGTTATTTGTCTTCTAAGCAAGAATAATGGATATGCAGCACACAACGCACGAAACAATTTTAAATATTTCTCTGTGAAGTAAAAGTAATTATGAATCTCTCAGACGATGATATTTTTAATTTCATTGTGTGAAAAAAATATGATGCACAGTCCTTCTATTTTTTCATGATGTAAGATGACGGAGGTATGCATTTTACATTTTATACAAGATATTTTTTTTTATAATACGGACAACATGCCCTAACAGTATCGATACAACCTTTGGGACAATAAATCCATCCTTATGCAGTACTAGTATTTTTTTTCATTCTTTTTAGAACATCAATTATCCATTATCAGATGTGTATATGATGCAAATATGAGTTTATTATTGTGTTGGGTTTTCTAAAGTCATAAATCTTGATCTTCTATCTTAAAGAATAAATTAATATTTTAGAATAATGCATCTCTTCAACACTGACAATTAGGCAAAGGTGTTCAGGCGGAAAAGTTTTTAAACTAAAGGTGAGAAAATTGTCACCTGTCTGTGTTTATTTGAATAATTAAGAAATGAGAGATTTTATTTCGGATAAGCTTCACCGAGTAAGAAGGATATTATATATACATGTACTAAAAATACTCTCTCCTCCCAGAACTAGGACCTTCAAGACTAAGTGACTTTTACTTTACGTCATATTTTAAGATAATAAATGTCAAGAAAAGAACGTTTCTACTTTGCAAACCATTTTTCCCCAATGGGAAGGCTCTCTATTTGTCTAAAACTTTTAAGGCTTAAATCTTACACAGAGTATTTATTTATTTTTTTTCCTAGTCGAAAGAATTTTGCAACGTGATGGCGAGATTCAAACAATATTTATCACATTCTTAAGAAAACTTAAAAGGTAGTGGTAAGAAAATTCTTGCAATGTTCTGATGAAATTAAAGCTGTAAATTTAGGAAAATTACATCAAATATTGTTTCTTATATTAAAGAGACTGCATGCCCTGGACGACCACGTGTACATGCTGTGACGCAATTTAATTGTCCTACCCTGATGGCCGGAGGAAAGTCCAGCGTGTGTGTTGTTTGTAGTTAAATTAAAGAGTTAAGATGTTTAAATCGGGCGAGGATGTCCAGCAATAGTCCTCGGTGATTAGTGACCAATTTATCATTTGCTTAAATGGCCATTTGTAAGTTTAATGTGTAAGATAGAATGTTAAAGACCCCAATTCAAAGTTAAGACCGGTCTTTTGATCTGGGACTGAAGTAACAACGTCCTGTTAGGTCGCTAAAACTTAGGGTGAAAAGCTGGTGAACGAGGTTTTTTTGTGGAAAATGAAAAATTAGTTTTGGCGCCCTTTTGTCAGGTCAAAGATTTTTAAGGTGGGACAGGAAATGATTATGTGTTAAAGATACCATTAAAAGCTAAAGCTAGCTAAGCTGAAAAAAAAAATCGATTTTTTTAGGATCGCGATGCAAAACTACAGAAAAGTTATTTTGTAAATAAATTTTATCAAACTTTTAATCCTGGACCGATTCTAAGCTGATTAAACTTACATTCCATTACAGAGAAAAAATATTTCGTATAGTATGTTTCTTGTGCATCGAACGAATTTCATAATTTATAGAAATCTATTTCTCAAATGAAATACATGGAATATCAGGTGAATATATTCGATATCGAATATTCTCTTTACCATTGACTTGCTCATTGTCTTTGACAGAATTCATTTAAGCTATTATGTCAAATACCTTTTCAGAAAATGGTATGAGGAAATTGTGGCGAAATGAAAATAATTAAAGATTCCAGCTGAATGCTAAAGGCCTAGACAAAATGGAGAAGTGGATGTTTCACAATGTATTAAAGCACGAGAAACGTGCTTTCTCTATAAGAGTTGCTATTTTTTGCCCGCTGGAAGCAATTCATTGACGTTATCCACGCTTGTGTTGGTACATATTATACCCTACTAAATATTGTTTTCATGATTTGGGGGGACAAATAGATTTACACTAATGTTTAAAGATAATGTTCTGTAGATTGAAAAGATAACATGGTAAAATGGATTGGCCACGCGACTTGAGTAATGTTTTTGTTTGGTCATAAACAAAATGACGAAGATTTGCAGTAGACTTTTGTGATTTAGCGGTTAAACATTTAACCGAATGGCATTAGAATCACTTTTGAAGTTAATGAACAATTTTATGATACCAGAGGTTTTTAGTTACAAGATATATTTGCCACATTTGCAAGACTCAATTATTCATATTGTTATGTAATTCATTTCGGTAAATGTTCTGAAATATTCTTCATGTCTTCTCATGATATATTGATTAGAATGATATCTTCCCATTATTTAAAAGGTAACACCATAATGTCATAAAATGCATGTCAACGCACGAATCGAGCTAATTATAAAACTGAAGTAACATTTTTGATTAATTTTTACAATTTACGACATAGTCCTTGAGAACTGCGGTGGATCGTAAAAAATCAAGACAACTAGTGCTAATTTTATTCAAACATGTAATGAAAGTTTAAAAAAAGTAAAGAAAGAAAGAAAACGATAAATTTGGAACATTGCAAGACAAGAACAAGAATAACATAACAGTACTTTGTTGATTGGTTAAAATCAAATATTTTAAATACAAAAGACCTAACTCATGATGAATGAAGTTAAAGACTATATTCGTCGTCACATTATCCGGTTCTGCACACGCCTAAAAGGTTTGGATATCCAAAGAACTATCTTTTTTAAATTTTAATCCATGCAAGACAGTTTATGCTGATTACATTCACCGACTTACACATAATTAACAAATTGATAAGCCAAATGAAGACATGTTTTTAAATTCCCTTAGCACAGCTGGGCTGTCAGAAAAATGGAAATTTGACACTTTTGTACAAACTTAGATAGTATAACCTTCTAAAAGACAACCTTCGTGGGATCTCGGTAAAAAACAAGTGCACTCTCTATATCGCATTATTATGACCATTATGGGTGTAATGTACAATATAAATTATTATTCTATCAAAAATTTCGAGATTTCTTTTTTTTTCTATTTTTTTTTTTCTCCACCGAAGTCAGATTCCGAGATATTGAGGAAGAACTGTAGAGTTATACTTTTCCCCGCTCTACTGATTCCTAAATTTAAATTTTTAGAAGGTGGAAAAGATTTTATACAACAAAGTTCATAGACTTTAAAATATCCTCAAATTTGAAAAAAAAAAAAAAAAAAAACAAGTGTTAATAAATTTTTTTTCGACACATCTGCCAAATTTGAAGTTAACATCGGTGTCATAGCTAGTTTGGCAGGATTTCGTGTAATAAATCTAGATGAAATTTAAGAATCAATGATCAAATGTCAATGCAATGCATTTGAAATAGATATTCAACTATAGTTGGGGGTCTTGTTTAATATACCAGTGTTGGCCCTAAGTTATACATGTTGATTTATTTATGATGAAATGAGCATATTAATATGTAGCTGTTGTTGTTTTTTTTTTTATATTGAACTTACTGTGTACCTGAGGTACAATGCAAAATTTTCATTTTAGAAAGTGAGTTGCTCTCTTCATTTTTTTTTTCAAA